GTTTGGACTCCGGCGGGAACCCCTGATCCAACATGGGCTACCAACCAACCACGCCCCACCCCCAACCCATGTTCGGCATTTGTTATGTGAGCGCGACCGGAATACGCCCACCGTGTCCTTATCCACCCCTCCCCCATGTTCGCACTTGAAGCCGTCGTGATGTGATAGCAGTCGTACCTTCAGCTACTGGAATAGGGATGCGGCAACGCGTTTAGAGGTGCACTTCATCGTCAATAACACAGTCATTTTGGACACCACACATAACTAGGTGTACTGACTTGGAAATAACCACTTAAGTTGCATGAGTTTTTTTTAATTGATTCCCGAGGCCCTTGTAAATTTAAACATATTTTATATTAAAAAAATGCGCAACCATATTCTTTCTTGCACTCAGTTGATAACAGATGTGTTCTAAAGGTGGTATACGTAAAGAAAGATATCATTCGCTATTTTAAGAAAACTTAATAAATACCCTTAAATTCTCGTCAGGTCTTTACACTTATATAGCAATGAAACAAATAAACTATGCTGGTTGGTGGACAGATGTCACGCTGTTTTTATTGTTGACCTTGACAAAAACAACGCGACATTGTTCCATCAACCAGCATAGTTTATTTATTTAATTACCATATAAATGTAAAGGCCTGACAAGAATTTATCGAAAATAAACATATCTTCGCCAATTTATCTTCTGACATTTTCAATAGGAATTTTCGCAAATTCCTTTAAATCTAGAACCCGAGCCGCCGTCAAGTGTGCATTGATGGTTTGCAAACTAAAAACTGTATTTGAAGCAACGTTTCCCCGATGCAAATTTGAAGGTGGCAAAAACGGCAGAATATATTGGATCCATGAAATTTTGGGAAAGCTTTTCAGCTGCTATCTCTCATTGCATAATATGAGTAATGCATGAGATAATAAAAAATGAATTCGTACAGAAAGGTCATAGGGCATGATCATGAAGACCACTTAGTAAAGTAAGCGAATTAAACCAAGGTGGAAAGAAAAAACAGAAGAAAAAGACGTTAAGGCGAAAAGGCCTTGATAAAATTCGGCTTCCTGATTTAAACAGTCCCCTGCCCACCTTTTCGCCTTAACGCCATCTGCTTTTTTTCTTTCCACATTGCTCTAACTCGCTCACTTTACTAATTAGCCTTCGTGACCACGCCCTATGACCTTTCTATACGAATCCAATTTTGTATTTTCTCATTTGTTACTCCTATTATGCAATGAGAGGTA